AAAAAAAAAAAAAAAAAAAGTACAGCAGAAGCACATTATGAGTCAGAACACTGCAAATTAGATGTGGTACTCAGTGGAAGATGAAGGAACATTTCTCTCAGTACATGAAGATCAGTGTAATTCCAGATATGATGGGAGATGTATCAGGAAGCTCATGTTGCTCTATGAGAGAATCCAGTCTATGAGAAGAAGCTCAAGAGAAAAATTAAAAAGAAGACCTGGAACTGTCCCAAAATGACCCTTGCTCAGAATGAGGTTGGGGTATCTCAAAAGAGGGCAAGTGTCTTCAGAGGTCAGGAGGAGGCTGCTGAAAGATAAACCAGACAACAATTTTCTATAAAAAAATTTCAGACAAAACTTAGCAAAAAAAGGGGGGAAAGTATAAATATTAGCTAGCTTCTCTGGCAATCTGTGGATATGGCAAAAATGCTAAGATGATGAGTAATCGAAGTTGGGAAAATGAGTTTGTGACTCTGAAGACCCTTTACTGACAGTCAAGTGATGGTAAGAGGGGCCATTAGTATTGCTTTTCACAAAGCCCGATGGGGCAAACAGGACTCACAGACCCTGCATGGCAAAGAAGAACAAAAAGACCCTGAAAGATGCAGCTCTTCCAGCTCTAAATCATGGGTTCTGGTGGGAAGAAGGTGACCAGACAGGAGGGTCTTGAGATTTTCCTTTTTCTGAAGAGAAGCAGGGGCACTTCTAAGGAGGGTAGGTCCTACTGGACCTTCATCTGTGTGTCTGGAAAGCCCACCAGTGCCCAGATCAAAGCATGACCTCTCACAGAGCCTCCTTTAAAATACAGAACTTTATTTTAATTACTGAGATTTTCCTAAGTTCTTGGTTCACAAAAAAGTCATTTCTTACAAAATAACAAAGACAGCATTTTGTACAGCGACTCACTTTGAGGCCACCAAACAAGTGCAAAGGACAGTGCTGGGGATGGGACGGGCCAACACTTGTATCCAAGGTCCTCAGGCAGAAGCCACAGCTCCTCCTTTCCTCTCTCCCACCCCCCCCCCCAAGACAGCAGCACCCCAACCTGGCCAAATGCAGGACAGTGACCCCCAGCAGGCTGGTGAAGGCCCTGTGTGAAAGGCCAAGTGGAAGGGAGATCAGTCAACTTCCTCAAGCAGTAAGGTCCAAGCCCACCTGGCTCTGGAACCCTGATACATTCACAGTGCAGGCAGGTAAACCCTGTGGGAGCTGGCCTTCCTCTCCTGACAGGCCACTAATCCTACCTCCCTGCTGTGGGCTGGGACCTGGGGACAGACATTTAAGATGTGACCTTACCTTAAGAGAGTTCACAGGCAAGCGGGTAGGACAGGGTATAGATCCCCAGATAGTTTCCAGAACAAGGCAGAAAGTGCTCAGTGCCCTGAGGGAGCAGAGGAAGGGCGATTGAGGTTCAGAGGGGGACACAGCACTGTCATCTGGAGTGAGGGGAGAGCCGTGTAGAGATGGCAGTGTATGAGCTAAGTTTTATTTTTGTTTCGGTACCGGGGATCGAACTCGTGCCCCTGCACTTGCAAGGCAGGCAGGAGAACCACTGAGCCAAATCCCCAGCCCTGAGCTAAGTTTTGGAGAATGAGTGGGGCTAGCACATGGGCATGGTGAGAAAGGTGAACCAGAAAGGAATGTATAAGCCAAGGCACAGTGGGGGACATCACCCACGAGAATAGGGACACATCAGGGCCCAAGCACCTCCATCTGGACAGGCTGGAGCCTGAGGGGCAGCTGGTGTGGGTATTCGCACATGGGTTCTGCGTGCTGCAGCAGGCACCAAGCTAACTTCTTCCTGAGCTCAGGAGTTCCTTGAGGACAGTGGAGCTCTATGCATCCCTGAACTGCCCAGCCATGCATCTGCCTGATGCCTGAAGAAAGCCGTCTGCCACATGGCCCTCTTTGTATCATGTCCCCTTGTCCTCCTGGGGACAGCCTCTCAAGACAGGCTTCCTTTCCCAAGCCCCTTCCTCACAAGACTATGTCTAGGAGAACTGTGTCCTTTAGAAAGCAAACTCAAGTGTGGTGCAGTCCCTGGAAGGGTCAAGGGAGGGTCAGGACCAGATAAGGGGCCAGTTCTGGGTCGATTATCTCTATCCCACCCCAATCACTTCCATCCCTCAGAAGCAAATGTTTTCCCTGAGAAGAGTCAGGGTTTGGTATGTGTAAATTGAGGTTCCCTGTAATTCAGAATCCTGACCCCAAAGTTTCACATACTGAGTTTCCCCAACTCTGTAATCTACAGTTGCTAGAATGACTAGAAGCCCCACACCCACCCCGACTTCTGTACCTTTTTCTCCTTGAGAAATGTTTCCAAGTCCCTTCCTGCTGAGGACTGTGGGACTGAAAGGTTTTGGAGGCACCTGTTCTGAGTGCCCAGGGAGGCCTAGGACCTTTTTTCCAAGAGGAGGGCAAGTAAGAGGGAGGGACTGGGAGTCTTCTCAGGCACTACTTCCATCCCTTAGCTTTTCTGAGCCTAAGGCAGGTCTGCATCCTTAGAGGATAGTGCAGAAGATGCTGCGGTTGCTGTGGTAACCACCTTCCACACGAGCTGTGATCCTGGTTGCCATGGCTGTCACCTTCTGCCCACTGGTGCCTGCAGATGGGCCCCTGAGAGAGCTTTCAAGATGAGGCCGTGCTGGTGGGTTCACCAGGCGCCACGTATCAGACCTGGAGGTACGAAAGGAAAGCCAGTGTACTCTGGGAGTCTGCAGCATTTACTGAATGCAAGCGTGGTTCCAAATCACTGGATTTCAGTATTCAAATCTGGATGTAGATTTTGTCTCCTGAATGTGACAGCCCAGAGAGATGATGTGAAACTAAGGGGAACAGTCCAGCATCTTTACTCCAGCTCTGCCTCCAATTCTGCATGGAACCTCAGACAGTTTCCCTTTGTGGGCCTCATTTTCCCACTTTTGTTTTTGTCTTGTGGTCCTGGGGATAGAATTCAGGGCCTTGTGCATTCTAGGCAAGCACTCTACCACCAAGTTACACCCCCAGCCATTTGCCCCATGTGTAAGAATTGAAATGCTCAAGTGGCTTTCTTCTTTTCACTTTCCTCATTTTTAACAGTGTGACTGAATGTAACTTATTCATAATAATCCAAAACTACAAACTACCTAATCACCTTCATCTGATGAATGGGCAAAGTGTGCTATATCCACACATGGAAATTACTATGGAGTAAAAAGGAATGAGTGACATAACAATGTCATAGATGAATCTTGAATGTATTAGGCTGAATGAATCAGACTCAAAAGACTATTTTTGAGGGCTGGGGATTTAGCTCAGTGGTTCCACCTTTGCAAGCACAGGGACCTGAGTTTGATCCCTAGTACCAAAAAAAGACTTTTTGAGCCTGGTGTGGTAGATCATGCCAGTACTTTGAGAGGTCGAGGCAGGAAGATTACAGATTTGAGCTCAGCCTGGGCAACTCAGCAATTTAACCCTGTCTCAAAATTTAAAAAAGGCTGGGGATGGAGCTCAGTACAAAGACCCTGGATTCATCCCCAGCACCACAAAACCAACAACACAAAAAAGATATTTTTACTGAGCGTGGCAGCCATTTCCTAGAAAATGGCAATCCATCACAGGTTTTTGACGAGATGTAGCATGACCAGAGCTCTTGTTTAGAAAGGCTAGCCAGGCATGATTAATAGTACAGAGAAAGGGGTGGCCTAAGGGCAGGAAGTTCAGGCAAGAGGCTGCTGCAATGGGAAAGGTGATAACTAAAAGTGCAGAGGTGATACCAGTAACAATGGTATTTAGCAAAGCACTGATCAGTCAGAATGGCCCATCCATAAACAACTGGGACAACTGTGCTGATTAACACACACCATAGGTCAGGGCAGGAGGTGCTGATCCCTGAGTTAGGGTGGTGGTGGTTAGGAAAGAGGAAGTACCAGATACAGAAGTGCTTTAGAAGTACAACCAAGAAGGCCTGAGAACAGGCTTAACTTTGGTGTAAAAGAGGAGGTGGCAGCAGAGCTTGGGGGAAGACAAGTGGGCAGCAGTGGTACCCTGAGGCACAGCATTAAAAATAAGGTCAGCAGCAGCAAGAACTAACATTTTTGTAATACCTTAGATACTTAGCTAGGCCACAAGATCTTCATCCTAAATTGGTGCCACAAACAGCTAGATTTTACTAAAGCTCAAAGTTGTTGGGTAACTTGCTGCTGTTACTGTAGCCATTGACAGTAAGGGCTGAGATTTGAAACCCCTTCACTGACTGAAAAATCTCTTCCTTTTAGGAAGACCTGAGCCCAGGCCTTTTTCTGACCAGACTTTAAAGTGGGCAGGATTTCAGGGAGTGAAGCAGCAGCTGCAGTCACTGGGCTGGGCCTAGCTGCCCTGAGACCTCACTGCTGTTGTTAACAGGTTCAGACAACCTCAGATACTTACTTTTTCTTGAAGACCAGGAACTTGTTGTTCTGCATGATGCAGTCTCGGTTGTTTGAGATTTGCTGAAAGATGGTCTTGTTGGTCTTGCCCTGGAAGATGATGTTCTCCTGCACCAGGGCCTTAGCATGGCCCCGTACTGTAATGCCATAGGCCCGGAATGAGTGGATCCGGTTCTTCATTACCTAAGAGAAGGAGCCAGAGCTTGTCACATCTCAGGGACTCACAGGGGTGGGGGAGCCCAGAAAGGGAAGCATCAGTTAGCCAAGGGAGAAGAATATGCTCTGAACGTCAGTACAGAGTGGAACTCGGAGGTTGAGAGCTGCCTGGGAACCAGGAAGCGCTCCCTGGATGGGCGAGCTGTAGTTTATCAGATACAGAGCGGGGAGATGTGTTCACTGAACAGTGTGCAAAGGCC